ATTTTTAGTTGTCCAATTAATTTCTTTCTATTTTCAGTAGAGACGGGGTCTCGCTCTTGCTCAGGCTGGTTTCGAACTCCTGAGCTCAAACGATCTGCCCACCTCGGCCTCCCAGAGTGCTAGGATTACAGGCGTGAGCCACCGCGCCTGGCCCTGGCTAAACTTTCTTAATCACACTTGCATGCCTAGAAGAGGGCCTGATATGGTGCCTGACACTTAAAACCTGCTTCAATTAACAGTTTGTTGAATGAAAGCATAAAATTCCTTGTCATTTCCCTACTTCAGAGTGAGACCTTTTATGAGCCAAATTGCCAAAGAAGTTGACAATCAATTTTCCATTGAAGGCCAAAGCAAGCAATCAGTCTGTCCACAGAATGGTGAGCCAACAGGTTTTTAATGAGCAGTACAATGTAAGGAACTTGTAGTATTCTTGAAGAGACTACATATATGAAATACGAGGGAGTGAGAGAGAGAAAAAGAAGAAGAAACAAGAGGAAGAGGTAGAGAGGGAGGAGGAGAAGAAGGTAGTATACAATTAAGTGTTTTTCCTGCAGGCTGTTAGTTCAGGAGTTCAGAGAAGGTGGAGATCAATCAAAATTCTCAGGGAAGTAACCAGGGAGGCTTCAAGGAGGAAGCAAAACTTAAGCCTCCTATAATACAGACTCAGGAGAGGAGCCCCAGGGAAGCCCTGGAGAGGATCCAGCTTATTTCTTGCTTTCTTAATGGATTTGGAGAAATCTTGGCACTTACTGAAGCCCTTTGGGCTGACTCCATGAGTGTGTAATTCAGAATTGGTATACTTACGACATCAGTCAGTCTTGAAGCGGGAGTTTCAGAGGAAGTAAGGAGAGAATCCAGGCTCTTTGCTTTCTCTTGGATAGTAGTAAATTTATCAGACAAAGTTTGAATAGATTCTTGACTGTCCCTGCAAGAGGTAGATCCTGTTTTAACCTGAAATGTGATATTTTCAAGGCAGTCTTTATAGCGACTGGCAGCTGAAGAAATTGACCCTGTTGTAAAAAAGGCGGCAGTCAGTATCCGAATCCTTTGTATTATAAAAACAAAAAAACCACCCCAAAGCCAAAAAACTCTACACTTATACCAGGGATTTTCCAAATTTTTAATAACTGAAATAATCATTAATCTGAAACACAGCTCTTCAAGGTATAAAAACTTGGCCATCAAAATAAAGGGAGATATTTTAAATCACAAATATACTGGAAATGATACTAAAAAGAGGATATTTGATGCTGGTGGTATATGGTTGCAGGAATCAGGAACTACATGTGTTTAAGCACAGGGTACTGTTTTATGTTGCAAACTCTAGAGAATCCAATGGTTTTGCACTAAATTCTGTAATGCTTAGAGTACAGAGTAGATTTTGCATTTGCATGTCTCTGTCACTGCAGTCCTAACCAAAACCTCCTAACAACCGCCCAGTAACCACCACCACCAACCCTACCTGGCCTCCCAAGGGATTATCCCCTGCAGTTTTGGCCAAAAGGAAATACCTTAGCACTGTGAGAAAACAGCCACCAGATCTGATCCCACCGCTTGACTTCCCAGAGTCAATGTGCAGGGGTTGTAAGCTCCTACCCGAAAAATGCTTCTGCTCCCTGTGAGTGATTACCTGGGCTGAGGGGAGTGCTGACACTAGTAGGTGCATGGTTTATTTTGGGTGTTTTGCATGAGGCTTCCTTAAAAGAGCTGTCTTGTTCATAGGAAATACTAGATAGGTCTTGAATATCTGTCAATGATCTAAAGATAAGAGCACACAGTAATTGTGAGAAGATGGTTAGAAAAATCAAACAATATATTCCTGAGAGGTACTTTTTAAGTATACTCTTGAAAAAATCTTTAAAATCTTTATTTGGCAATAGGCCAGAATTAGAGAATACCTTAGAATATCTTACATATCTTAAAGAGAATATTAGAGAATATCTTGAAAAGAGATTTTAACTTTAAACATATCTCAGCAGCTAAAAATGAATATTATCACAGATGAAAGGATATTTATGTGGAAAACAGATTAAATCTACCTGAAGTATAAAATTATATTATCATTGTCACTGTGTTTCCTTGATTGTAAGATGCTATTAATTATAAATCACATCATCAATTTGATAACAGCTTTTTGGTGAAAGAAGAACCATACTCATATTAAGTCTATATATAAAAAATGGAAATAATGTAGATTCTTACAAACAAGGAAATATTATTCCCTTAAAACCAAGACTTTACACAATCATCCTTAGGCAACTCTCTTTGGTGGCCATACATGTCTTTCTCTTTCGGTTCCTTTGGGGACTCCTTTAATGTCTCTTCTTGTTCACCTTCAGTACTGTGAGAGAGAAAGTAAGAAAATTATATGAATCCCCTCTGTCAACAAAGTGCACTAGCTTGGTACAAGGGACCAGTTTATCAGCCCAGTGTGAGAAGCAGCAGAAAGGGCAGTAAACTCACAAGTAGAAAGTGTGGGTTCTGGTTCTGGCTCTGCTACGAACTAGCTGCAAGTTCTCTAGCATGTCTGGGCCTCAATTTCCTCTCTAGAGATTGACTAAATACTCTTACAGGTCAGCCCAGCTCTGAAATCAGTCAGTGACTCTATATGACAGTGAGCAAGTTCCTTAGAAAATCAGCAGAGCACAGGAACTCTGCTGGGAGGTAGATGTTGGAGCCGGGAGCACAGCCAGGAGGCCTTAGCAACGGTGAGACAGCTTCCTGGTGTAGAGCAGCAGCAGAGGACAGGAGAGGCTTGTATCAGAAAAATGGCCAGAAGGGAATACTGAAGACAAACTTGACCCATTTCTCCTTTAACCAATATTTAATATTCAATTTCAATATTCATTGAACACTATAAGCCAGATGCCATGTTAAATCCTTCCATATGTTTTTACATTTTTAATCCTTGCAAAACCTTGTGAGACCAATGGTGTAAAGGAAAGAGCACGGACTGGAGTTGAGTTGTGACTTTATTGATTTTGTTCACCAAAATGTTTGTTTCCTTTGCCAAACACGTAGTAGAACAGCACTGTTGGCCCTCTTAATTTACACAAATGGCCACAGGACTTGTTTTAGCCAGTGAAATATGAGTGAAAGTGATGAGTACACTTCTGGGCAGAAAATTTAACAGTGCACAATTCACTATGTTTCGTTTTTCCTGCCTCAGCAATCAAGGAAGCACAAAGACGGAGCCCCCTTCAGCCTGAAGATAACACAGCACAGAACACCCCTGGCCAACCCATGAGCCACGAACATGGAGCATAAGCAAAAAATAAACTTTTGTTGTTTTAAACCACTAAAATGTGGGGGTTTTTTGCTATATAGCATAATCTAGTCTGTCCTGACTGATTAGCTGTGTGACCTTAGAAAAAATGCTTAAACTCTCTGAACTTTGCTTTTCTTGCTGGCAAAATGGAGGTAATAGTATGAACCATAGAGTGTTGTTAAGTGGATTTTATCCTGTTAAGTGGATTAAATTAGACCACAAAACAGAGTGCCTGGCATATGCTAGATGCTTAAGAAATACTAACTATAATTATTATAATTAAGAAAATTGAGGCCCAGTGAGGGGAAAATGAATGGAATGTTATTATGCCAGGCACTTTACATCTATTATTCGTTTTTTCTAAATTAAATTTTTATTTTGAGATAATTGTAATTCACATGCAGTTGTAAGAAATATATTTTACCCACTTTACCCCCAATGGTAACATCTTGCAAATCTCTAGAACAATTATCACAACCAGGATATTGACATTGATACAGTCAAGACACAGAATGTTTCCACCACCATGAGGATCCCTTCATGTGTCTTGTTTATAGCCATGACTACTTCCCTCCCTCCTCGACCCCTTCCTTAACCCCTGGCAACCACTCATCTGTCTTTATAATTTTGTCATTTCAAGAATGTTATATAAATGGAATCATACAGTAAATAACTTTTTAGGGATTGCTTTTTCTACTTAGCATAATTCTCTGGAGATTTAGCCAGCTGGTTGCACTTATCAATAGTTCATCCCTTTTTACTGCTGAGTAGTACTCAATAGTATGGATGTACCACAGCCTGTTTGATAATCCACTCGGTGAAGGGTACCTGGGTTTTCAGTTTGGAGCAGTTATGAATAAATTTGCTATAAACATGTATATGTTTTGTGTGAACATAAGTCTTCATTTCTCTGGAATAAATGCCCAGGAGCTTTATTATTACTTTCAATTCCTATGTGAACATTCCCACTAAGGATTCTTAACCTTATTTTACAGATGGGAAAATAGAATAGAGGGGTTGAGAACCTTGACCAAGGCCACATGAATAGAAAGGCAGAGTCAGGATCTGAGTACAGATAATGACTCCATTTTATCACCTCTCAAATTCTGCTGAACTAGTCCTAACAAAGCTAAATTGCCCAAAGATAATTTTTATAAGACAGTGGCTAATACATCTGAAGATAAGCAATATAATATGGGTCACTACCACCATTTAACATTCCTTCTGAGTCTGAAATTGTGAATAGTCCATACCTTCGTATAGGTTGAAAGTGAGACTGGGTCAAAATCTCAGCATTCTTTCCAAGAATTTTTGTCACTTGGAACTTTTCCTCACCTGAAAGAATAAAGTAAACATATTTTTTACTGAATTTTTGCCAACTCAGATTATTATTTTCATTCCCTGGAATTTCCCTTGGTCTGGTCCAGAATGAGAAATAGGGATTCTGTTAGGGATAAACAAAGTGCTTCCCTAATTGGGTTTGGACTGAGTGCTGTAGAAGAGGTTTTTGCTCTGAAAGTTTATTTTCCTTGCTCAGAGGGGAGAACTATATTCTGACACTCGGGATACAATCAAGCCATTTACTGGCCTTTCAGTTATAACCACACAGTTATTTCTGGAGACAAATGTTATTTTGTCTTTTCAACAAGGCAAACTGACCCGGTTCCTGTCAACAGACACCAGGGGGCGTTGAAACTAAAAACTGTTCACTAAAGATTCCAAACAGCAAAGACCATTAGAGCTGGGCATTCCCAGGGCACTAACTGTGTCTCTTGGCCATCAAACACCACCTAAACAGTGAGGGCGGGAGTGGAGTCTTGAGTACTAAGGAGCTAATTCTGTTCTCCTTAGCATTGAGTGTCTGAAGTTACTCCTCCTCAGTTCTCAGATGCTTTGCAGACCTCCAGGCAGACAGGGCCAGTATCCATTTTCCTTCCCACCACTGTCCTGTTCTATTCATAGAGAAGCAGGCAGACAGAGCAGCCTGCCCTGTTTCTAAATGCCCATGACTCCCCCCAAACCCCATTCCTTAGGTCCAGGTGGTCTGGTAGGCACTAGGAAGGCCCACCAGAACAGCACCACCCTTAGCAGGTACCAAGGAGCTCTGAAACCCCACCAATGGAGAGATGTTGGGATTCCTCTTCCTGTGACCCTCTTTCAAACTGATAAACACCCAGAAAGCATGAACTAATTCCTAATAAGCACAATTTAGAGCTGGAGAGGAACTTAGAGATTTTAGAGTCCAACCCCTTCTTTTACTTTATACAAGAGGAGAATAGGGCCCTGGGGAGAAGTAACTTGCTCAAGGTTATGCAGAAAAAGCCAGTGGCAAAATGGAGCTTGGAACCCAACATGCCCTACACAGTACCCATGATGTCCCCTGGTGTGGAAGGGGATAGGTATCAGAGCTCTAAGTGGAAAAGGGGCTGAAAAAAGGGAAAAGAATAGAACTCAGAGGATTTTTCATGTACTTCAATTGTTTTTACTGAACTGGCCCTGGTTTTCTGAACTGTCTTTCCTACAACTTCTCCATCTCACTCAACCCTCCTCCAAATACAAGTAAATTGGCTACATAAAGGCCAGGCCCACAGAAAGTGATCACAGGCAGAGGCTTGGCAGGAAGAAGTGATTGGCCTGAGACTCTGGGGACTTTTAATACATATTATCCTGAGAAATTAACTGTTCATCTAAAAGCTTACAGCTTCTTAAAATGCTCCCAGCTCTGGCAGGGGCCTCAACCAGATTAGAGTTGGAAGCTCTTGTGTGCGGTGAGGGAAGGGAGTAAGTTCATAATCCCACCCTGTCTGGGGTTAGAGAGTTGAGACATGACCATGGACAGCTACATAGCCTGGTAGGTGGATAACTCTTGTTTTAAAATAGATGGGTGCATACCTTAAAAGAGCAAAAGTACAAAATTTTTTAAATGTCTGTAACAGAACAGTTCCTTTACATTTTGTTTTGTGCCACACTCTTGGCTGCTGGTCCAAAGCTAACTTTTCACGTAATAGAAAGCACCTGCTAAGTTACATAGAACCCAAGGCCTCCCAAAGGGTGGCTGTTAAGTTTTATCTGCACCATTGCCTGTTACTAACTCTTTGCTAAGATGCTAAGCAAGCAAAGGAAAATGTTGGTGAGACTCTGCCTTCTGAGGTGGAGAAAGACATGAAAACCTAGTCCTAGTTTTTGTTATATTGATAACTAGCTGTGTGGCTTGGGCAAATCCCCCAGGTCAGCTCAGCAAAGATAACTGTGCACCTGCTAGGTGCCACCAAGGAGCCTGAAATCTAGTGAGACTACTAGTGAGAGAGAGGCTACTAGAGTGAGACAGGGAGAAGCAAAGAAGAAACTACTAAAATTACGAGAGCTATAAAAATGCTCGGGGAGGTATAAATAACCCAGTGTGTGGATGTCATGAGGCTGGTGAAGATTCACTCTAATGAGGGGAAATCAATAAGCCTAGGTTTTCTCAATTGTAAATGAAAAGCCTGGATGAGGTTATCTCTAAGGACCTTTCCAGCTCTAAACATCTGTGATCCAACAGAAAGTGAAGGCAGGTGATTCTCAAAGGAATCTGCCTGAAGGGCTTATTACCAGAGGCTTGAGGCTGGGCAAATGCACCTTGAATTCCTTCAAAGTCCTGTTCTATGGGACTTGAGGTCTATAAAAGAATGAAAGAAAAAGGAGGTTCACTGGAGGCAGACATATCACTAAAGGGTTGAGAAAATTTCTTGATATTCTTAAACCTTGAAAATCTTCATACGGTCCCTGCATCTTTTCTGGAAAAAGAACAAATTTGCTTCACAGACATTAAGTACTTATTTGTACTATATATCCCCCTCAACAAGTCCTCCCCCACCTCCCACCATGAGGAGGAATTATGTGACGTTCCCCCTCATTATAGCACCATCCCGTATTCACCCCAATCTTCCAACAAAGATGTTTTGGTTCTTGGGAGCTTTATCAGAAGAGCCAAAGAAGGCTGAAAAAAATGGCCCAGTCCGACAAACTACTCTATGAGGTAAGAAGTGAGAACAAGGGCTCCTTTCGCGAGGAGGAAGTGACTGGAAGGGAGCACAAGGGGATCTTTTGGGGGACTGGTGATGTTTCATTTCTTGGGTTCACTTCTTGTGTTCAGTTTGTGAAAGTTCATGAGCCATACACTTAAGATCTGTGCACTTTTGTATATACCGTAGTTTATATACATATGTAATTATTTATGTATTTTTATCTTTTTATTAAAGATTTCTTAATGTCCTGGTCTTATCACAGTAAATATTAAAAGACTGTTACTAATGGAAAATTGTTCTAATTGAGTTTTCAGCAGTACAGACAAGTGGACATTATACTTTGATACACAGTCGAATGCTGTGATTGACGTGTACAATCTTACTTTCCTCTACCCTGTTTTTCATATTCATAAAAGATCCCAAAATGGTGACAGGTTATGGAGGATATGGGGTAGAAAATACATAAGTAAATAAGAGAATCCAACAAATGTCATTTTATAAATGAAAATACTCTATACGAGTAGGTTCTTTCAAAAGCTAGGCAGAGTCCCAAGAAAACCTGGTGTACCGGACAGTCTCGTATTTGTTGCTGAACCCTGGTCTCAATCCTGGCTCTCCTACCACTTTAAAGCCTGGCAGGCTGGGGTTAATTCCCTTCATCTGCAGATCACCACTTCTTCTTCAGAGAGAGGAATAATAGCCTTCTTAGCTTCCCCACAGGAAGAATATACAAATTAGGTAGTATGAATAAAAATGTTTTGGAAAAAAAGTACGAAGTGCTGTACAAATGCAGGAACCACAATTTTGGGAGAAATGGCACATGACCTTCCATCCTCAAAAATCTTATTTTTCAGATGATTTTTCAAAACACATAGAGAAACACTGCTAAACCAACATTGTATTCTTTTATATGTAAGCTATCTTTCTCAATAAAAATAACTTAAAAGAAATAAGGCAACAGAGAAAGCTGAAAATATACTTTACCCTGAACTGTGATTTTTACCTCTAGAGCTAAGTTTTCTTGAGCAGTTGTGGAGTAAAAATATTCATGGTCTGGAGTTAAAAATTCATCTGTTATATCCTCAGAAGACTCAGGTGAACAAGTTGATTGCATGGACTGATCCTATTAATAATACAGGAAATCATTTTTAAGTTGCTGTTCATTGTAACCAAATCCCTTTATAGCTGGATGCGGAGTTAATAACAGAGTTATCTAACATTACCCAGCGGTCAGTGAGCCACTCCGAGCTGGCTCTCCTTCCCTATTTGAGCATGTGCGTCTGCCTCCTTCCTGGCGGGAGAAGCAGCTGTGAACTGCCCGGATAAGTGTGAAGGAATGTTAGCTCTGAATCTCAGCATCCTCACTGGCAGAATAGGTAGGCATTAGGAGACCTTTCTAATCTAAAATTCTACTAATAAGTAACAAGAAAGGCCCTAGACAACTCTAGCTGGGGACTGAATTTAAACACCCTGATCTCTTAAGGTCACAGACAGAGGCTGTGTGTTGGCATCTTCCTATAGAGGCTGAGGCCGCTCAGAACTTGGGTGTCCCTTGGATACTACAGTTAAAGGTAAGCAAAGGAGCATGATTTTAAAAATAGCAATGTAATCTCAATAAAAAAATAATATTAAATTATTTTAAAGTAACAGACTTATTTCTTCAGCTTCTCTGCTCCAATCTTTTTTTCCTGCTTATTTTGCTACTTCAGGCCCTGATTACCACGTGGCCAGCCAACTGGCTCTTCTCTCCACCTTCAGTCATCTCTTTGCAGAGATTTGTGGCTTATATCCTTGGACACTGCTTTTGTTACACACTTCCCCTCCCTGTGCACATACCAGCTGCTCCCCCTTAACTCTCATATGAAACTGAAATTTCTCAGACAAGCCTGGCCTCCCCATACCTTCCCCACTTCCCTGACTAGACTGCTTCTCCAGCCCAGCCAGTGTGCTTAATGTGGCACATCCTTCTAGCCCTCACACGAAAGAAAGAATAAGCTGATCTTGTGAGTAGTTTGTATGCTATGATTAAATACTATACGTCAAAAGACCTTACATTTTATCCTTATTGTATTCTTATATTGTGTCATTCTCAATTGCCATCTATAATCTTTAAATGATTGTGGCTCCATGTCAATGACAATAAAAAATTTTGGTTCTTTAATCTGGCTGGACTATGGCCCAGAATGTGTTAAACCCCTGAAGCAAGGCTGTAACCGCAATGCAAATGAGAGGAAATGAATGGCGCCTGCTGAGGCTCAGTTTTCAGGCACAAACACATTCCTTCCACTGAGCTAGAGCTGAATTTGGGTCTTAGAGGATATTCCACGTGAAGGCACTCTCATCACAACCCTGGCCTTGCTTTTCCTACTCCAATGTGACCTCAGTCACCTGCTGAGCTTAGTCTTGCCTACCCAACTAGATGGGAAGCTCAAGAACCAGAGGTGAATCTGACACTTGTGTGTATTCTCCCCACACTCCAAGATGCACAAGATGCTGAGTTGAACTGACTCAAAAAAGTACCAGGCAAGGAGGAAAGACTACTTTATTCATGTCGATGACATGAGGACACATGCTCCAACCAGAAAGAACTACTACAGATATTATTTTGGTATCATAATACATAACGACAACTCAGTTCTACCTTATTAGATCCTTAGGTTCAACTTGGCTCTCAGGCCATATTACTTACACTGTAACATTTCTCAATGAGCACAGATGCATCAGAACTTGCTTGAAAGGCTTCACTATGCTCTGGTTGCTCATTTTCTCTGGGCGACAGGTGCCTGATACCTAAGGATTATAACACAATCAGGGCCAAAGTCACCGAGTGATACTCACATAGCATGGAAGCGGCAAAAATGTGGTGTGAGAGAAGACATGCATACATATTCTGCCAAGCGTGCCCAAGTCCCAAATGTTAGGTTCAGTCCAGACAGTGGAAATCGTTTAGCCTGGCCCCCAAAGGCAGCCTTGGATCATCTATCTTTTTGCCCACCCATTCAAGAGTGATGCTTGACAAGGAACAGATTCTAAAATACCAAAAAAAACCAAAAAAAACCCGCAAGCCAATATTTTCTGCCTAAAAGACAGTTTTAGATGTGCTTTTCTTTGATTTATAAGCAGCTCTGAAATAATATCTCATACCCTGATTAAGCAAATTACCACCAGGTAGCCTTCGGTTCTAACCTGTAAATCTATAAACTGATGACAGTAAATGTCTCTAGGTTCCTCTGGCATAGACTCTCTGGGAGCCAGTGGATTTATTTCCAGCTTAGAACACAATGCAAAGACATGGGCAATGATGGCCCACCTCCATTCCCGGGTAAGGAAGGCTCAATTCCTTGCCATGTGAGACCCAGGGCCAGGGTCAGTGCATGTAGATTATTTTACTTCCTTTGGACAAAGGGGCCTGTTTCAGTAATAGAAAAACTCATCAATCTCTGGATTTGCCTGTGGGAAACACAGGGAGAAATACAAGGGGTATCCTGCTTTCCCCTAGAATTCAAGGCTCCCAGAAAAGTAAGAAAGGAGAGGGGACCAAGCAAAGGAAATATGCCAGAAAGTTACTTTGTTTTGAGAGCTGGTAACTCGAGAGAGCTCATCTATCCAGATTCTCCCAACTGAACTTACTGGTGAAGCTTGGAGGCCCAGGCTGTCTTCCACACTGGTCCCTGTCACCGTCACTGTTGTCCACTTTGTCAAACTTGCCATTTCCTCCCGGGTCATCAACTTCCCTGCGATATTCTACAACTTGCTGCCAATCTGTGTTCTCAGAGCCCCTAATGGGGGGCGGCAGCAGGGGATGAGGCTCGTTTTCAGCCTCACTCTCTGAAGTCAAACTACTCTGAGGATGCCAAGGAGGAACTGTGAGCTGCCCAGTAGCTGCTTTCTCTGCCATTTCTCTCACTTCCACTGGGCACAAGAGAAATCAGTGTTTAAAACATCACTGTGACACTAGAAACAAACGCTTTCACCTTAAAGAGATACGTGATACTATTATAGTTCACATTGCAACAATAACTGCCTTTTTACAGCAGCATCATCCTTAGCTTGTCCTGTTTGGTCTAAAGGGGAAGGCCGGGGAGAGCTGATGACAGAGTGAGAGAAGGGAATTTCAGCTGGTCACCCCAAGTAACAGCCCTTGTTGCTGAATTCTGGAGTGGCAGACAGCAGAAAACAGACCCTTTTGCTGTGAAGATTTAACAAGAAAAGTGACATCTGAAGTTCCCAGTCTACAATAGCGAATAGAAAGGATTGTATCTGAGTTTGTCTAGCCTTCCTAGACTACAATGAGCTCGTATTTTGTGGGTGTGTACATGTATGCATGTTTTCATTTCAAATGTTCTACATTTCTGATGTCACTTAGCACCAATATTAAAAAAATAGACATTGTACCCTTTTAAGCTTACAAGATAAAACTGATACAAAGGATAATGCCACAGAAAATGAGAATGACACTGCATGCTCTCCACTTTAATAATGTCATATATCAAATATCTATACAGCAGGTCCTTGAATAACATTATTTCATTCGACATCGCTTCACTATAATATTGATGAAAAAAGTCCATTCCCAGCTGTGGCAACTGTCCGTGTGGTGCATGTGGTGCTTATACGTTCTCCCCACGTCCGCATGGGTGTTTTCCGGGTACTCTGGTTTCCTCCCACATTCCAAAGATGTGCATGTTAGAACTGGTGTGTCTAAATTGTCCCAGTATGACCAAGTGTGCGTATGTGTGTGAGTGTGCCCTGCAATGGAACGGTATCCCATTCAGCATTGGCTCCTGCCTTGTGCTCTGAGCTGCTGGCATAGGCTCTGGTCACCTATCACCCTGAACTGGAATAAATGGGTAAATAATTATCTTACCTGTTTTTATTAATCTTTCATATGTTGTACAGTTCACATTTGTTTATTTCAATGTTTAATGTTAGAAGTGTTTTGGTCTTTATTTAGAAGTTTGGTGATGTTTTGTGACCAGATATATGCTGTAGAAACCAACATTCCTTCCTTCCTTTCCGAAACTTCCTTTTTTCTCCCCCTCCCCTCTCCCTTCCTTCTTGCTCTGTTGAGCAGGCTAGAGTGCAGTGGCATTTTATTTATTTATTTTTTCAGAGATAGGGTCTCGCTCTGTTGCCCAGGCAGTGGCATGATCATAGCTCACTGCAGCCTTGAACTCCTGGGCTCAAATGATGTTCCTGCCTCAGCTTCCCAAGTAGCTAGGACTATACCCGCACAGCACCATGCCCAGCTAATTTTTAAAATTTTTTGTAGAGATGGGGTCTCACCATGTTGTCCAGGCTGATCTTGAACTCCTGGCCTCAAGCAATCCTCCTGCCTCAGCCTCCCAAAGTCCTGGGATTACAGGCATGAGCCACTACACCCATGCCAACCCACAAATATACTTTAAATTTCATTTTGTCTAACAAAACCCACAACTATATACTCACTTTTCCATTTTGAGTGTACCTCTCCATCATCTTTATTATTTCTTGACTTTGCATTATAGATTTCAGAAGACACAGATTCCACACTGATCCTAAATTGTGTAAGTATTTTCAGGAGGAGAACAGAGTAGACACAAACACATCAGTTTGCTCAGGTTCCTAACAGAACTCAAAGCCCACCAGCCCACCCAAAGGAAAGGTCCCCTACTCCCTCAGCCATTCCTGGAGTTGCGCTGGCTCCTTCATACCACCAGAGGGCGCCAGACTCCCCAGTTTTCAAACCGCAAGGATCCTTACCTGGTAGCATCCCAGTGAGGGCTGGATGACCCAGGCGGTCCCTGCTGGTGGCTTGACACGGTGAAGAGAGCACTATTTAGCTGTGTGACTTTGGCTTGGGTGCTGAACTCTCTAGGTCTTCCTTGGCTAAGAAATGAAAGGACTGGGCTAGAAGATCTCTAAGGTTTTTTTCAGTTTCCAAGTTCAGATTTTATGTTCTAAAAATGCTTTGGGGAAATTTTCAAAGGTAGAAGAAACACACAATTGAAATGAAGTTTTGCCAGACAGAATCCTGATCCCTGGGCTGCTGCAAAGCCTCCCCTCTCACAAATGCCACATACAGGTGATGGCTCAGCTGGAGGTTTTTGTTCCTGCCTTTCCATCAGAATTCTCTGGTAACAGGCCCACCTGCCTATCAGTAACAGCACAGTAACTAACATTTGTAAACATGGTCATGAGGCACCAGGGATCCTGAAGAACATTCAGAGAGCTTCAGTCTAGTCTCACCAAGTTCTAGACCCTGACCTAATCCTCGTTAGTTCTCTAATTTTGGCAAATGTCAATCTCTCTGGGCCAAGGTTTTCTCATCTGCAAAATAAGGGAGTCTTTTTTCCTGTAAATATCCCATGATTTGCTGGGAGCAGTGGAACATACCTGTAGTCCCAGCTACTTGGGAGGCTGAGGCAGGAGGATTGCTTGAGCCCAGGAGGTCGAGGCCATCCTGGAGAACATAGCAAGACCCCGTCTCAAAAAAAAAAGGAGGGGGGGTTATAAATATCCCATGATTTATCATTTATTAAAGCAACTTCAAAAATATGTGATCTGTGACATAGATATGAATTCCCTGTTATTTAGAATGCCCTACTCCCCAACTGGACCAAAAAGCAGAGAAACTGTTGAATCTGAGAGGTCAGATCCGATCAGCTTCTTTAAAGAGTTTTTTGGCAACAGCTATCAAGAATCTTTAAAATGTTCAAAGGTTTTGACCTTGTAATTCTGCTTCTGGGAATCTATCTTGACATAATCCAAAATGCAAAAAAAAGCCTCATTTATAAGTAACTGTAGCTCTGTTTATAACAGAATAAAGAATGAAACAACCTAAAATTGAATGATGGGTGAAATCCAACAATTTCAAAATAATTTTACAGGGTTTTTTTTTTTTTTTTGTAAATAACATGGGATAATGCTCACATTCTAATATAAAGTGAAAAATCGGGATATAAATTGCCTACAGGTATAGTAATTGCCACTTTATTTTTTTAAACCATGCAAGAAGACTAGGTGGATAGCTAGGAAAACAAACTTCTCTTTTTTGTTTTTGTTTTTTTGTAGAAATAGGGTGAAGCTGAGCAGTGGAGGCCACAACTATGGGTTTTCTTTGTCATCTAATGGCTGTAATGTCACCCCATCTGCTTCTATCAGTAGTTGAGTGCTAAACCCTCTGATGCCAGTTAGATGATCCTTCATACTTCCCTTCATAAGGGTAAAAAATAAACTGATCTAACATGTCTGGCATTTTCCTTCATTCTTCTTTATGTACTTTATTTTTTTCCTAAGAGACAGGGTCTTCCTGTGCTGCCCAGGCTAGAGTGCAGTGGTGCAATCATAGCTCACTGTAAGCTTGAACTCCTGGGCTCAAGCAATCCTCTTGCCTCAGCTTCCTGAGTAGCTGGGACTACAAACATGCCACCACACCTGGCTAATTTTTAAAACTTTTTGTAGAGATGGGGTCTTGCTATGTTGCCCAGGCTGCTCTTGAACTCCTGGTCTCATGCATTCCTTCCACTTATGCCAAGTGCTGGGATTACAGGGATGAGCCACTGCATCAGGCCTCCCTTACATACATACTTATCAACATGAAAGGAATAGCAAAACTCTAGTCATTAGTCTCAGTCACCACTAAGGGGAGGAACAAGAAGTTATTTTTTTCCAGGAAAACTGACTTCAAAACTGTGGATTAGTGCTCTCATTTATCTACAGAAAAGAAAAACCAAAACTTATGTACTAGTTTATGCTGAAAAACATTTATCGCCCCTTTAAAAACTCCCCCTGTACAAAACAAAATTTGTTTTACATAAGTTCTTTAAAACTCAGTGTTCCACGTATAATTCTAGCACTTTGGGAAGCTGAGGAGGGAGGATGGCTTCAGGCAAGAAGTTCAAGACCAGCCTGATCAATAGAGCAAGACCCTCGTCTCTATAAAAAATACAAAAAGTAGTGAGGTGTGGTGGCGGTACAAGCTTGTAGTCCCAGCTACTTAAGAGGCAGAGGCAGGAGGATCACCTGAGCCCAGGAGTTTGAGATTGCAGTGCGCTATATCATACCACTGTACGGTAGCCTGGGCAACAAAGTAAGACCATGTCTCAAAAAAAAAAAACAAACTAAAAAACCTCAGTGTACATATATACTCTCCTCCCAGTGATCTGTGCTAAAGCTAATTCATTTCATTGATCTGGCTGGAAATCAGATACCCCAGAGCAACACTGATATTGTTCAACTTCCCCTCTAGAGTCAGTGATGCTTACTTTAAACAGCACTGGTTTCCAATTAATTTGGTTTCTGGAACACTGGTAAATGGAACAGCAGGCATTTCTTTTTATATTAATAGAAACACTATCTGGGCAGTTTTAGAAAGGCAAGAAGATGCTTTGCTCTTGATAACTGATGAGTTCCATCTGATTAACCTGACAGCCACTTGGCCTTTGGTGTCTCCTCCAAGTTCCTGTCCCACTGCTCTTGCCACTCACTCAGCCGGAGAAGCTGCCATAAAGTCTGCTTCTGTATTGCTCTTCATCACGCACAGTCCCTTTGTCACTCGACATATGAAGACCATTAAGTGACTTCAGGATCACACGAGAGTCTAAAGGCACAGTGACACAAAAAACAATAAAATGTTGACCTACCTACTGGTATTTTGGTTCCTGCTTCTTTCCAAACTATCCTTGGCTCCTTGAGCAGGCTGAAATTGTTTACCTGTGTTCTGTTTTCCAGGGCCACAAAGAGTCAGCAGCTTAAAAAGCAATAAACATGTTTTAGTGCTTTGATGAGAGAATTCCTCTTCTCTTTACTCTTTTTTTTTTATTGAAAATACCTTCAAGTATCTTTACTTTTACATTCTTATTTTCAAAGCCATTCTGGCTAAACGTAAATAAGAAATAAGCAGACGTACCAAGACAATTTCCCTTTGCATGTTTCACATCTAGTAACCCATCTCTTACCTGGAGGGCTTTACCTAGAAATGCTGGCCCCCAGGAACCTCATCCAGACAGGATTCAAGTGGAAAATGAGCAGACAACATAGAAATAACAAGGCCAAACACTTTCTTAAGAACTTTCTGTCTACATTAATATGAAGGCAGCAGATCTTTGTGGCAGGAGCTTTGGGCCTTGGGTTCTGGTCTCAGCTGTACTCAGACTAACTTAAGAGAATCTTACACTTCAGTTTCTTTATCCATAAAACAGGGACAAAAAGACCTACCAGTAGCGATGCTATGAAAATAAAATAAAGACTACAATACTTTGGAAATAGCAAAAGTAAAATAAATGAAATTCTATGTGCTTTATTCAAAGGAAAGACTTTTGGGATCTACTTATCCCAATTTACCATAATTTTAACAAATTTAGTTAATTATGTTTCCCAGCCTACAGCAAATTAAAGCAACAAATATGGGGTTTGGAAATGGCAGCAAGATGTGTAAAAGTGAGAGGAGGCATAAAAAATTATCACAAGCTTGTTGAAGTATGAGCGCCACAGGCCTTTGTATGGGCAAACACTCCTCAGTAGGGGCTGAAGCTAGCTCTGTATCACGGAGCCTCACAATAACAGACATTCAGAAAAATGTCACTGTCACCAAGGAAAGGTTAGAATATATTTAGAATATAATCAAAATAAATTTTAGAGTAACAGGAAGTTTGTAATGTTTTCACATAATTAAAATTTTAAGAACTAGGAAATTAAAGGAATGAATTTCAATTGTCTGAAAAATTCACTTAGATGGAGATGCTTTATTTATTCCCTGATGATGTTAGAAAAAGAGGGTGAACTTTTAAAAGAAAAAATAAATATGGTATAATTGTTCTATACATAGTCATATGTACCAGTAGATGGTCTCCAGTGATGTCTGCCATCAATTCCTTCCCTCCTGTCTACCCTGTCAGGCCCCCTACCAGGAGCTGGAGTCTATTTTCCTCCCCTTGAATCTGGGCTAGCCTTGTGACTTTCTTTGACCAACAGAAGGCAGTGGAAATGACACAGTCCTAGGGCTGTGACTAGCTTTTAAGAGGCCTGGCGGTTTTAGCTTTCGCTTGGAAAGCCAGTTGCCATGCAGTTGAGAAGCTTGGGTGAAGCTTTATCGAACGATGAGAAGCCAAGTGCAGAGAGGCCACTTGGAGCTCAAGGCACCAGACATAAAAGTGGAGGCTTCTTGGACCTTCTTGCTCAGCCTAACCTCCAGCTGAATCAATCAGTGAGTGACCCCAGCCAAGGCCACATGGAACATGGAAAAGAAGAATCACTCAGCTGAACCCTGTCAAATTCCTGACCCACAGGATTGCAAGAAATAATAAACCATTGTTATTTTGAGCCACTAAATTTGGGGCTTTTTTCTTCTGTTGTTACACAGCAATAGATAACCAACACATAACACACAAAAGTTATTTCTAATAATTTTCTAGCAAACTCTAATTTTCAATAGAAACAGAAATACTAGGATATAAGTAAATTCCTTGAGCCTTCTCTTTATATGAAAACAAATGCCAATGTTTTTCCCAATGTTCTAAGTGAGGACTGAAGCCTCACTAAAATTCAGTATGGTATGATGAAAGAATACTAGACTATGAGTCAGGAGACCTGCCCCTAACCAGCTTGGACCTTGATGGTAGTGTAGCAAGTTTGGCGGCAATGGGAGAGGTGTCTGCCCTGTACAAGCAATGAGAGGGTGCTTGTAGGTGGATAATTTTAAACCGGTAATGAAACCCACTAAAAGTTGGCCTGCTTTTTGTCACCATGGGCCAGCAATTCTTAACAATTTCAGTAATAAAATCCTCCTTCCAATGGAGTAGACCTCTTCTACCCTACCCCTATCTTGGACCTTGCGAAGTTTAAGTCTCCAAGCTTGAGCTTCACACTCTGTTTGATGACAGGGTTGACCCATGTCTAAGGGATCTTCAGCTCTAAAATTCTATGATTCAAGAGGCAGCCAGCTCTCTCTGTGTGAACTTGTTCAAATTCATTCGTTCGTTCATTCCCTCATTCCTTCAATGACCATTTATTAAGTTCTTTCTACTTTCTCTTGTTAGGTGCCAGGACATGGAATGAGTAAGGCTGGGCCCTGTCCTTAAGAAGTTCACAGGGGAGCCCCTCTGCAGCCTCCATAAGCCTCAAGCTATACCTCCCAGCCAGTTCCCATGGTGTCTGCTCACTTCCTCTAAGGTGTGTTCTTTAGCCACCAGGTCCCTCAGTCCCCTACTAGTGTTTGAGCTACTTACAGGCAGAACTTGTAACTTATTCATCATCATATCCCAGGGACTAACAGAGCCTCTGTCTTTACAGATGTTCATTAAGTGAATGAATGAATGAACAAGCAACTTAGAATGGGATATAAGGTATCCTCTCAAGCTATCTTGTAAGTTGAACCACGTGAAATTGCCAATACTTGTTTTAACCTATAAAACAGCACAGTGGACGAGGAAGAAGCAAAGGAAGGTTTGGGAACCCACATGAAGAACCAGAGAGAGAAAGAACTAAGAGAAAATTCAGACTTCATGTGCTTGATTGAGATCAAGGAAGGTTAAAATTCAGCCTAAAGTAAACACATTGGAGAGAGAATCTGAGCAGAGAGCAACCCAGGCTGTCAAGAGATGTGTGGAAAATCCAAAGGAGGGTAAAGGCATTGTGTCCATCAAGAAAATAAGAACCAAAAGTCATCAGGACAGTGAAGATATTTAGCCAAGAAATTTAAGTGGGAAAAAATACAATAAAATTAGTTTTGTGATTAAAAAAACCCAGCAATTTCTTATGGTTCAATCTGATACATATGAAATTACAGAGAATGTGGGCTGTGTGTTGGGTTTGCAGTATGAGGTAGAGAGAGTGTCTACCTTGGAATTCCATTCTGGGGACTTATTTCCCAAAGCCAAGAGGACCTTGCTTCAAGCTGGTCGCATTTATATGTCAGTCCCTGCAGCCAGGTCGGGGCAACACTGAACCTGGCTTTTGGGTCCTGCTTGAGCTGCCCCTCCCTCCCACTTAGGTTACCTGATGGGCTGTCTCTGACTGCTCCCCTGTGCTTTCTTCGGAGACTTGGATGAAAGGTTTCCAGTCACAACCACTTTTTCTCCTGGACCTTTTGCCAAAATGTCCTCCTTGAAAGTCTTTCACTGTTCTTGGAAACCTTTCTAGGGGTGGGCAATTGCCTCTTTTATCTGGCTGCTGGCCCCCTGATTGCTGCATGACAGGAGGAATATAACTCAAAGCTGGAGGACCCACAGCTGAAGGCAAGCTGTAGACGTTTGCAAACTCTCTTGAAGTAACCCACAAAGAGCTGCACTCTTCCTGCTCCTTCTGTATCATCTCAAGCTTATCCATCTTCTGTTGGGCATTTCTCAGCAAATTGGCATTCTGGTGCATTAACGTCTGTGCAATCTTTAGATTAAGCACACACTTACTGATGTACTCCTCAGTCATGGACCTGTTGCTCACATTGCCCTTGGCCCCTCTGGTTGGTTCAGGCAGGCTAAGTGAACCAAGCGAAGCATTTTGCCAGTCCCAGTCCTCGAAGGAGAGCACTGTGTCAGCTTCTGAAGAGCTCTCACCCTCATCACAAAAACAGCAGGCCTCTCTCTCCATCTTATCCAACTCTTCTTCCATGGATTTCAGTTCATCTACCTGGTTTGGTCTATTCCCCTCAAGAGATGAAGCAGCTCCTGGAGGCTCTTCCTCTTTGTCATCTTTCCAGTTCAGACAGCCTAAGTAGATTTCATTGATTTCGAAGCTGCAGAGACTTGCCTGACCTAGGCTGGGGCTGCTGGCCTCTTCTGCCACAAATGGATCAGAAAGAGTGTCTTGATTCTGAGTCTCCTTGGCAGTCAGACTGGGCCCTGGGGCCTGAGGATCTGGTGCTCTTTTCTCAGTGGGAGAAAAGTGACTCCTTGGTGAATGAGGCTGACTGCCTGTTCAAAAGAATAGCAGCACATAACTGATTAAAATGATCACATTCAGCAACTAAGCAGCCTTGGCTTGTTTAAGAGGACAAGAACACATGAAATAGCTTTTATTTTCCCACTCCCTTCCCAGTTGTAGAAGACTACTGGATACACTCACAAAGAGCAGGGAAGGTATTTCTAATCTAGGTGAAAGTTCCCATTTTGATACTGGATGAAGCAGAAATTTCTGGGGGGAGTCAAACCCGGGGGGAAACATTCTAAGCTTCGTTTATAGGGTGTTCATATATGTATAACTGTCAAGACATGCAAATTACAGGCCCCTGAATCTTAAGGACCACATTTATAGCTTTCTTGACACACACAAGAGTTTGACTATTTATGTCAGTTACAGTTATGCTCTTAGTGAGCATCTGATAAAAGTAGCTGAGATATCGCCCAAGAAGCCATTGCATCATGGGAGGGATAAATCATTCAGGACTGACCACCCACCCCCACCCCTGGTCGACAACTGTACAGCTTGCAGAGAATGGGATAAAGAAGCCAAAGTGATGAGAGCTTGAGGGGCTACTCTGGAGGCCTCTGGCCCTGTCAAAAGGAGAGTAACAGGGAATGGTCATTTGGCTGGAGTCAGAAGGCTTGAGTTCCAGCTCTGCAACAATCTCACTGTGATCCTGAGCAGGTCACAACCTCTCTGAACCTTAGTTTTCTCATCTGTAATATGAGGGCATTAGTGATGATTCCAAGGTCCTTTCTAGCTCTAAATTCTAAGGTTTTCAAATGCACTAAAAAGCAGTAAAAGCTGGGTGTTCTGCCTGTAACCTCAGCTACTCAGGAGGCTGAGGCAGGAGGAATGCTTAGCCTAGAAGGTCAAGACCAGCCTGGGCAACATAGTGAGACCCTGTCTCAAGGAAAATCAAAAAAGTAGAAAAAAGGTTGGAAGGAAAGACCAAAATGTTAACAAATTTTTTCTAAGTGACAGAATTAAAATGGTTAATTTTTTTTCTTTGTACTCTTTCAAATTTTCTGTTAACAAGCAGATAGTAGTTTTCAATTTAAAAATAAATTTTGTTGGTGAAGGAATTAGAGAAATTATTAAGAGGCAGGGAGTGGTGGCTCATGCCTGCCTACCACTCTGGGAGGCTGAGGCAGGAGGATCGCTTGAGCCCAGGAGTTTGAGGTTGCTGTGAGCTAGGCTGATGCCACAGCACTCTAGCCCAGGCAACAGAGTGAGACTCTGTCTCAAAAAAAAAAAAAAAGATAAATTCTTAAGAGTAATTATGCTAGAAATAAACTCATTGTTACTACTTAGTTGTGGATCCATGCCAGGTATACATGGAGCCCAAAAAGTTTAACTTCATTATTTTAAGGATCTTGATTTTTACCTAACACAGCCATCTTTCCCAGCATAAGTTATATGTACAGCTTGGAGCAGGTGATTAGTTACAGCTTATGTCACTCTCAGAACACAATTGTGTCAAAGTGATGCTTAACCTATGAGTTAAGGCCATACCTGTTTCCTTTAGCTCTTTGATTTCCAAGTCAGGGGTCTCTTTTGGATGTTCTGAAGTCAGTCCTAGATGAACATTGACATCAGGATGGAGTTCATATCTCTGCACCCTGGAGCTCTCAGTTGGCTGAGTCCTCTGGGCTCCAATAAAATCCTGTAAAACAGGAAATATTGTCAAGGACATATTCACAGTCATCTGAATGTCAGTGGGGTTTTAGAAACCAATTGAGGTATCAGATAAACTCCCTCTTACTCCTATTGGGTAGGCTGACTATAGGCCTAATTAGCTAAGTTATTGTTATTATCAATACCTTGAAAGCAATAATAATAGCTACCATTCACTGAATCTCTACTATGTATCTGCAGTATACCCCTAGTATGTGTTGAACCTCCCCTGTTCCCCTCCTCAATTCCCTGCTGCTCTCACCAAGTTAAGCAGTTAGGCTTTTCTCAGGTACATAGAAAGGGTATAAGAAAATGAGGATTTCCAAAATTTCTTTTTGAGACAGAGTCTTGCTCTGTTGCCTGGGCTAGAGTACCGTGGCGTCAGCCTAGCTCACAGCAACCTCAAACTCCTGGGCTCAGGCAATCCTACTGCCTGAGCCTCCCGAGTAGCTGGGACTATAGGCATGCGCCACCATGCCCGGCTAATTTTTTTATATATATATTTTTAGTTGTCCAGCCAATTTCTTTCTATTTTTAGTAGAGACAGGGTCTCACTCTTGCTCAGGCTGGTCTTGAACTCCTGACCTTGAGTGATCCTCCCGCCTTGGCCTCCCAGAGTGCTAGGATTACAGGTGTGAGCCACTGCACCCAGCCAATTTCCAAAAGTTCCTGTCTACCCTGTCAGGCTAGAGACACTTGGTCTCTAGCTTTGTCTTGGTTTCTTCCTCCCTACTTTCCTGAGATGGGTAGGTAGAAATAAAATCCCAACAACTTCAGGGCTTGCCTTTAAGTCATTCTTCAGAATATACCGGATATCTTGAAGGTTCATAGTTCGGTCTCTCTGCTTGACCTGGAGGCCTGACTTAACAATATCATAGTAAGGTTTTGGAAGCCTCACATCAGCTTCTAAATAATTTCCCAAGACTATAGCTTCTTTAATAACTGAGCCATCTAAGCCATTCCAGGGTATGTTATCTGTAAGGAAAAAGTCATAGGAAGGAGTAACATTAAGAAATCGGGGGTAGACGAGGAAAAAAAACGAAATGAGATGAAGCTAGGCAACCTTAGTCAAGTCACTCAACCCCTTTAAACATTGATTTCTCTCTATAGAAAAACTACCTGGAAGCTCTATTACAAACAAGAAGCTACTTTACCCATTTACCAAGGAAATCCCTGCCACAAAGATAGGAAATAGTGTCAGTGTCACATACACACAGGCTCCCTGCTGGCAGACCTGGGAGCCAGAAGGGAGTATTTCATGGCATTAGGCCAGGTAGCTGAATGCATTCATTTCATAGAAGGAGTGGTTTTGCCTCTGGGACTGTAAACACTGCGAAAGACAGCTGACTCACTCAATGAATGTGGTTCCACTGAGTGTGTGTGTGTGTGTGTGTGTGTGTGTGTGTGTGTGTGTGTGTGTTTCCTACTCTTGAAGGATTCTGTCTTCAGATGTGACCACTTTCTTCACATTAGAGTCCTGTGGTTTGGAAGGGCATCCATTTCTTTCAAGTGACACTGTTTACCCTGACACTGTTCCAACCTCTATTGGACCCTGGGTGTGTTTAATTTCATAGTTTACTTCTCAGACACCAGCCTTTTCCGCTCATTTAAAAGTCCTTAAGGGGGACCTCACAGAGATCCTAAGTGATATTCAGTACAAAAACTTTGCTTGGATTTAATGCATTCTTACAGACACGCAGATGGGTGGGCCTTGCTGAGTCTTAAAGAATAGCTAAAAGAGAAAGATTTCTGGGAGATCACCTTATATCTTCCATAGGCATAAAACTAAGCAACTTTGGGGGGAAAAAATACAACCTAACAAAAGGGACTCTGGTCCAACATTAACAATCTTGATCTACCTGTTAAAATCTCTTGTATCATCACAGAAAAGCTGTAGATGTCTGACGTCACCGTGGCTGCCTTCTGTAAGATCACTTCTGGTGCAGCCCAGTTGTACAGCTGGGCAGGGAGGGGTACTCGAGTCAGGTCCCTATGTATACCTCCGTCCCGGCTACAGAAGAAAACACACAAAACTTCACACATTTGGAGTGTTTTATTGTCGGAGATACATTCTGAGAACCTAGCATGCTTGGCTCGCCAAGCTCCGGGGCAATTCTTCAAGACAAACACCCTTCTCAGGCCTCTGAGGCTTGTCTAAGGCCCTAGTAAAGGACAAGTCACTTATAACCAGGATTTTACATCCTTTCTCTCCTGCCTCCTCTCACCTTCTGCCCTTACAATCCCTTCTTCCTCCTCTGTTAAAGCTAGCTGGGGGTGGGGAACTTCTTTTCTGGCTCTTACTCTAGAACAGTTACTTTTCTGGGCTTCAGCTTTGACATCATTAAAATTACATTTGGCTGTAGCTATGTGACACTATTTACAAGGTCAGTTCCAGCTCTAAAGATTCCATTAAGCAGCTGAAGGGTAGGAGAAACTGCTGCATCACTTTTACTCCAAGAGATGGAACGCTACCCTTGACAATGACATTCAACAAACAGACATGCCCAAGTAGAGTGTTACCAAAAATAAATGCGGAATTAAAGGCTATTTTGGGTTCTTAGATAATCAACTCATGTCATCAGCTTTCAAAGAGGGGTACACAGTTACGGCTGCAATGGCTTGCTGACTGACATTTCTGCCTGAAGTGCCATTCTGAGGTCAAGAAGCCCATATGAGAACTCACATCTTCCTACCATACCCAGTCCCTCTGAGTTCCCAGGGGTACTCACAGACCCTGATTACCTCCTACCCTCTCACTTGGCTAGCTGTTCACCCCTACTCCCCTGTATATTTCACTTTTTTCCCTTCTTTTTTTTTTTGGACAGAGTCTCACTCTGTTGCCCGGGCTAGAGTGCCGTGGCGTCAGCCTAGCTCACAGCAACCTCAAACTCCTGG